TTTTAAATTCTATATATTTTTCTTTTGAGCTGGATTTCAGAAAATATATTCAGTGTAACAAAAGGAAAAATAGTGTACACATCTCAATTTATTAATCTTCATTTATTATATAGTATTAGAGAAATTTTGTTATTTAATATTGTAAATAAATTTGAAATTCATAAGGAAAATGAGTGTTTTCTGAATGTGTGGTTTTTATCTTGCTTTACTTGACAAGGTTGCCTGGTACTAATTTCTTAAACAACCAAAAGATTCACTCATGAATAAAGGCAAAAAGACTGCCACCATAAATATAATTATATCTTCTCATATTTGCATGCAAAGATGATATGCAAGATCTAGAAGCATTTTGCAATTGTTTTGATATTAGACCAAGAAGTAGCTACACATATATCTTTACCTTTAAGGATTAATAAATATTACTTTCTTGAAATTCGTTGACAGACAGATTCTTCCACAATTGTCTGAAATAATTATTATTTAATGACAATATAAAACAACATAAAAACCTTCTTTAAAAATAAAATCACAGTTGCTTTGCCTCAGTTAGCTTTATGAACATATCTTCTGAATTATATTTAGTATTACTTACAGTTCCCAAACAGTGATATAAAATCATATAAGTTTATTTTATGTGCAAAATCACATACAGTATGCCGAGTGACACTTAAGAGGAATGAAATAGTAACTGTAGCTTATTTTCTGAAGCAATCTTGACACTAATGCTGAATTACAACATGGAAACATCTAGCAGTTTTACCTTTATGAGAAAAGGCTTTTTACATATTTAACATAATCACGAGGAAAATAAACTAGAATTATGTATAAAGATATGTACAGTGTAACCAAGGGGCATTTATATTCCCCTGTAGAATACTTACAATGATTTTATTGCCATTTTGTGTCATTTTCTAAAGGATTTAAATACAGCCAGTAAACAAACTAGACTTTAGATTTAAAGTGACAGCTGCTCATTCAAAAGCAATATTCAGATATTTAATCTTAAGAACCCTGAATAGTTTTCAACCAAGTAGAGTGTACTTCTACAAAAATGAAAGGACTGCATACCTTGGCTTCCAGTTTCCACAGCTGTCCTCCTTGGCAGAGCCACCGCTACCACTGTCCAAGGCTAACTCCGGCAAGTGAGTGGCAAGAGCTGGTCCTTTGCTCAGTCACTTGAGGAAATATCGCATGAGTGATTTACTTTGCCAGAATGCAAACCTTTTTCTTAAATGATGCTGATTCCATCTGTAACTTAGAAAGTATTCTATTATTTCCAGTTCTGTTTTTGAGATTGATGATTTTTACCTAATTTGAATATGTTGTTTGCCCTCTGTGAACTAGTGAGCTGCAAATAGCTGCTGAATCCCATCTTGCAGAACCATCATTAATTTACCTGGGCCTCCAAACATTGTTGTCCTCCTACACACAGTGAACTTGGTTTGTAAATACATAAGTCCTGTATTCAGTAGGAAAATAAAATTGAAATTTGCATTCAGACTACCTTTTTTATTTAAGTCTTCCTTCTAGCCTGTGACTGTAATGGCCTTTGAAGCTTTACCAGTATCATATATCTTGGGCAGTTGGAAGTGGCCCATTCTACTCTTGTTATAAATAATGACAACTTTATTTTGTTTTGCTTTGTTTTCCAATTCAAACTGGGGCATATGCCTCCTACTACCAGCAAGTGATTAGCTAACTCTCTCCAAAGGTCTGCACTAGTTAGCAATGCCTTAAGACACACAGACACTTCTCTCTACTGAGGAGAACCAGTCCTGTTTTGAGCACATGACAGAAAGAAGCTCGGACTATAATGCTGTCCCCACTGAACAATTCAGCATGTCCCCAAGGGTCATGCTTCTCCCTTGGACACTGCCTGGTGGTCATAAGGATGCATCTCTGATTGTATTTGATTAGTTCACAGTCATAAACATTAGCTCCAGACTGTAGGATCCCAAGTCAGGCTCCCTGAAGACTCAGCCTCAGTCACATCACAGGTCAGAATGGGGTTTCCTCTGAAAAAGTTGATTCTGACAGATTATGCAATTATTTTGTGGTTGTTACTTTTATGGATGAATAAAATTTAGGGTTCAATCTCTGTTAGTATCACTAGTGACCCATATTACTTAAAAAAGATAGATCCTGAAAGTAGGTTTACTGGCTCAAAGAATATGAAATGCATAGATGTGTATATGTGAGATGTGTATCCACCTATATGTATGCCTACCCACCAGAAATACGAGCATGCATATAACCACAATTGCAGTGAAATGACCACCCAGCATTTTGTTTTTCCCCCCACAACCACAGAAACTATACTTTCTGTAATTCAGTCAGATTGCACTATTTGAAATTCAAAACATCATGGTATCATGGATCACTGCCCACCCCTCTTGCCTGTGAAAGATGATACCTAATTTGATATAACTTTTCCCCCTAATTTTTGAAAGTATTATATATAATGTATTTGTTTCCTAGAGACATTTCTTTCTCTTTGCCTACAGAATCAAAAAAAAAAAAAAAGTGGGTGTAACTATAGCATCAATAGCTTATTATTGCCAGGACAATCATTTGAAATAAATAACCATAGATATTGATACAAATAAAAATAGATACAAATTAAAAATGATCTCTCTGTGATCACATGCAGCTAATGTAAGCAAAGCATCTTCAGGCAGAGTTAATTCTTAAATGCCGACAAAACTTTCTTTAGGTAGCTGCATTTTTATTTCTCTTCCTTAAACCTGGCAGCTAAAATACCTATTTGTTCATTTGATGTATGTGCATCTACAGTACTTTAAGTAAGTGTATTCTAATACTTTATCTGGCAACTGTAACAAGAGCAATCTGAGCATTAGGAACTGCAGGAGCCAATTAGAAGGGTGTGAGAAACTCAGAAGTCTACTGTTGCTGGTCCACGACTCTACGAAGGAATTGTCTTGATAGGAACAAACAATTCCACTGCCACCTTCATGTCCTTCTAACCCAAGCACCTCTCTCTCTCTCTCTCTCTCTCTCTCTCTCTCTCTCTCTCTCTCTCTGATATAGAAACTTCACAAAACTGTTTTCTTGCCTGGACATAGTATTTGCTCTATATCTGTGCTACTGGGCCATCCTCACTCATATTTTATTTAAGAATAAACTGTCTTCAGGGGAGAGGGGAGGGCTGTGGATACAGGAGTTGTTGCACAAGCACAAAAAGTCAGAGTTCCTGTCCCCAACACCCACATAAATGGCAGTCGGCCTGTAATTCCAGCACTTGAGAGACAATGACAAGGGCTCCTTGGAACCAGCTGCCTAGCAAGGCTAGCCAAATTGGCAAGCTCTGGGCTTAAATGAGAGACCCTGCTTCAATATACATAGAGACCAGAGAAGACACCTGACATCATCTCTTGACACACATATGCCCACATATATGCACTCTACACACATACACACTTGTAACTTAAAAGATACTGTCCTTTACTCTGGCTGTATTTTATACCACAAGATAGGAAAATGGATAGATAGAAAGTGAAAGCAAAGAGTTTATTTTCAGGTGGCTATCAGACACTTAGACTCTGAGTGTGTGGGGAAAATTATGGAGAGGGGCAAATATCCAATCTATATCTCCTTAATCCTGAGGGGTGCTTATTAGCTCAATAAAAGTGGAGCTGCCATGGCTGCTTGATAAGATGTCTGAATTTGGATGCCAAAGTAAAATCCATTTTATTTTTAATCTATTCTGGCTAAAAACATTTTTTTCCATGTGGTAGCTTATCCCATCTTTTCTCATTCTTAAATGCTCACTCTCACTGAAATAAAATTTCCAGGTATTCCAATGTCCCATTCCCATTTGTCTACCCTGGAGAGAGGCATTATTATTGGCTAGATGCATTAATTTTGAGTTTATTAAAGGATGGAAAAAGTTATTCTAGAGAAAAAATGGTTGCTGTTACCAAAGAAGAGCTTGTCTGATAAACAGATGTCCTCTTTGCTATCCAGAGAAATTAATTAATTTACCAATTATATCTGTAGAAGTGGCTCCCTTCCTTGTTGCTATGGGAGAATACAAACCTTCAGCATAATTCTTGTAGGTTCAAGATATGTTCAAAGTATAGGACATGAATGAAGTCAGTGACACTGGTGATGATGGTACTCTAAGAATAAATCCAAATTGTATAAATGGGAGTTCTGCTGCTGGATTAGTCAGTCTTCTTCTATGAAAACTTCTCCATGCACAAAACTTCCTTCCAGCAGGAATATTAACTTCTAGTTAATATTAGTTTGCTATAGAGATTTTGTCTTTTCTACATTTCACCAAGCAAATGATGATTTTTAAAATTGTTCCTTGATTTAGGCTTTCTGATACATGTTCTCACTGTGTAGCCCAAGTTCTCCTCCAAATCCCATTATCCTGGTCCTGAGTGCTGTGCTGCAAGCATATGTCACAAGAACCATCCTCAGAAAAGGCATTAAAGGCCAAAGATAGGAGCTTAATCTTGGCTTTGTGAGTACGCGTGTGTGTGTGTGTGTGTGTGTGTGTGTGTGTGTGTGTGTGTGCACCATGTGCACATAGTATATATGTATGCCAGAAAAGGGCATCAGATCTCTTGGAAACCACAGTTGTAAGCCACCATGCCATTATATGTGGGTGTTGGGAACTGAGCCTGGGTCCTCTTCAAGACCAAGTGCTCTTAACCATTGAGCTAACTATCCAGAACTCAGGGTTTGTTTTTGGTGTATATAGTTTTTGTGTTAGCAAATTTGAAAATTCACTCTGTATGTATTTTACTTGTTTCATATTTAGTCTGTATTCTTTGTAGGGTCGTTATGAAATTGCTGTAAAGTTAAGAAATGAACTGGACTATGGGACCTAAATTATAAGCTCCTGGTTAAGTCGTGTCCAAACAGGGCTTTCTCAGCTATAGTTTCACTTCCTCTAGGGGATAACAGAAGAAAAGATAACACTATTTGACCATTTCATTGAAAGATTTGTTCATCTCATCACCACTCTACAGGTATTTGGTGATATCAGTGCCTTGAAGTTCATCCCCAGCAAAGTGATCACAGCTATTGAGGAACACATAAGGGAAAGGGATGCTGTGCAGAGAGAAACCTTTGCTACTGCCCAAGAGAAATGAGATGGCTCCATGGAAATAAAAGGTATATTTCTCTGCTGATTAAGCATTTGGTCATCACTATCTGTGAGTTACACTCACCCAGTGGGTACCCCAAATGTCTAGTCCTTCTTATATCCCCGATTTCCCAGGAGATAATGAAGTTCAAGTTCTTCCAATCCAGGACCTTGTGTGCACACTCCATAAGAATAGGTCATAGATGTTGGTTGCTGACATAGAACAAAGTGTTGGGTGTTGGACTTTGAAGAGAGATGGATGACATAGATAGTATACTTGCAAAATGAGTTTTATTTTTCTTGTTTCTATTTGTTTGTTTTTTTTGTGTAGAGGAAATAAAGGAAGTGTCTACAGGATGATGATTAAACAAGCTTAAAATAATTCCCTCTTCTTTTTATTACCTGAAACTTTTCACAATTTCTTTATCCATGAAAGGACCTTTAAGGGGGAAAGGAAAATTTTAAATATCAACAACTGATGTGGGATGTCCTTCTGTATGCTGAGAATATGTGTCACTTTTGTTGGTTGATGAATAACAGTGATTTGACCAATGGCCAGGCAGAATAGAGACAGGCAGAAATCCAAACAGAGATACACAGTGAAAGAAGGCAGAGTCAGGGAGATGCTATGGAGCCCCCAGAGAAGTAATATGTGAGGTAACGAGCCATGATCCTTGTGGTAAAATATAGAATATTAGAAATGGATTAATTTATTTGTAGAGCTAGCCATTCAGAAGCCTGAGCCACAGGCCAAACAATTATAATTAACAGTAAGCCTCTGAGTGATTATTCAGGAACTGGTAGGCTGGGGAAAAGAAAAAAAAAACCTTCATTTACAGAAAACAGATATTCTAAGTCACATAAGTGAGTCAATAAGAGTTTATATTTTTGTCTTCTAGGATAACAGCAATCACATCCCACCTGGGTGACTTGGTTTGGGCTTTCATATTTAAATCAACTCTCAAAATCGATCAGAGCATCCTTGCTTTTTATCCTCTGTACAATCGACCTGTTTTCTTCTTACTGTATTCCTTTCAAATGATCTTCTATTTCAATTGAAGGTTTGGACTGGGGTTTATTATCTGCCCAGCTAACATAAGTTCATACCTCCGTCAGTATATCTCAAATATATAGAAACTAGTAATTATTCTTAACACTGCAAGAAGATAATAAATATACACTTAAAAGTAGTTTAAATGGTTGTATCTGCTTTTCATATGCAAGTGGATTCTTCTTGCAGTTACTTAAATGTCCCTGCCATTTACTTCCTCACTCTTCTTTGCTATACTTACTCGTAGCCCTGACTATCAGATGCCCTTGCCCACTGTTACTTGACAGCTGTGTGTACATGCTACAAACCTTTGCGTGTTCCCATTAGCACATGAGCTATCTCAGACAGAGAACTTTTTCAAATATATCCTTCTATTAGCAGAGATTTAAACAGGGTGGGGGTGAAATGCAGAGGCTCAATAGAGATTGGCTACTTGAAAGAGGTGTGAGGAAGACAGTAGGAGGGTGGAGCCAGGTCTTTGTTGTGTATGTAGAAGGTGAGACAAATCCCTGAATGATCTAGCCATAAGAAAACATAATATGTAATAAATGTGCATCTGAACAAAATAATATGAACAGGAAATTTTTACATATGCATGTAGATGCATATTTGCATCTCCAGCTGTATTTCATTTCATTATCAGGTCAAGATGATGGGTCGAATTCATTAGAAAAGACTCCATGGCATCTTAACAATGGGCACCCACTGACTTTACTGGATTAAAATGCTGTTGGCCAGGCACTTGTATTTGCCTGGTCTCACTAAAATTTAAACCCAGTGAGGGTAGGAACTATTATCATCTTTATTTGTTTTTATTCTCATTTATTAACAGTGTATCTTCTTGGGTAAAAAAAGCAAACTGGTGTCTCAAACTTCACTTAAATTTATTCTTAATGATCTATAAGAGAGTGACCAAAATGAATAGAAGATGTCAGGAAATCAATCAATAGTTTTTTTTTTTTTTTCATTTTCTTGTTTCTTTTAGGAGATCATTGGCCCAACTGGAAAGATGAATATAATTAAGGACAATACTTTCTGTCTCCTGAGGGGCACCTGGGAACACACTATTTCTTAATCTACAGCATTATTGCAAGGCGTGGTTGTTGTTTACAAATGGTAGTATGTAGAGAGTTTTGTGGCTGTTGTTTCTTTATATTTGCTTTCCTTGCCTTTACATGAATGTTACTAAACATTCAGGATTAGATGATAGGTTCAGAATTTGTGTTTGTCTAAGCCTTTGTTGATGCTATGTTTATATAGGTGTGTGGTAGGTAAAGATTCTGGCAAATGCTTCTCTCCGAGTTCTCTCTTCTTTTTAAAAAAGAACCTTCCTGATGCTCATGTGCAATGTATCATCTAATACAATAATAAAGTAAGAATCTGATACTGCCTACATCAATGCTAAGTACTGTATTTCATGGATTTTTAAAAGAATCTATTTAATTTTTTACTTTCCAGGGGTGTTGATGTTTGGTCAGGTTTTCAAGGAAAACAGGAGGTGGAGTAGAATAGAAGCACTGTCTCCAAACGCCTCTATCTTTTGTGGCCCTTTATACTTAATATTCTGTGGCTATAGAGAAGAGAGTTGTATTTGCAAATGGGTTGCACAGCACAGCTCTAATGTGGCAGGCACAGTGCCCTTAGGAAAGAGTACATATTTATATACAGTTCAAAGGACTATTTCAAAATTAAAGATAGGTTTCTAGGGGACTGTATATCTGTAAATTGAGTCGTCAGGATTTTTTTCTTTAGTCTACTGAGGATAATTTATGATGCTAATAATTAATTTTTCAAAACTGTATTAGTAAAATAGTATCTATAAGTTATGCATATATTTTCTGTGATTTCATTAGAATCCCTCTTTCTTAGAGCCACGTACTAATTGACATGTTATTTAGTTTGATCTTTCTGTCACACTTCTAATTGTAAAATAATTAGGAACTGTAAATACGAAAATTCATTCATTGGCTCACTTTTACTAGTCCCGATATGCTCTTACTGCTTTAGCTGATTATTTGCAACCAAGTTGTGAAAAGGAATAAGAACATAAATCAGAAGGGTTAAAAATCTTAACACTTGCTGTAAATTTAAAAGTGAAAACTACTGTATGCTCTTTGTGTTAAGTTCAGTAACAACAGATAGATTATGCAGTGTCCACTAAGGAAAAGAATGAAAAAATGAGTGATTTTCTTCCTTCAGTTAAATTCGGTGCTAAGTGGTACATACAGCATTAAAATCAAATCACTCCCCACTTCAATGTTCACAGCATGAGTGCTTGCTATTGGAAGCTGTGTTTCCATTCTTCCTTGGTCCTCAGTTTTATTAAAGCAGTCAACTGATGGTGCTCGGATAAAAAGAAGGGATGGCTTTGATACCTTTACAGCACTCTGGTTCATGAGTGTCTGTTCAAGATATCTTCCAAATATCATTTCCTATAAACTTCAGTCACTGAGCTCTCCCACTCAGATGCCCTCTATTGTAGACACTTCTGTGAGTCATGACCCATTCTATGACATCATTTCCAGTTGGTCAACTTACTTAATTTTAAATTCATCTGGAGGTGGGAAAAGTTCCAATGAGAAATTTTACAAACTCCTTCCAATGGTCTGAAATGGTATGGACTGTGGCCTTGTGAGAATTGATGACACCACAGTGAAGATTTGTGGCAATGGGGAGACCCTAACTCAGTAGCCACTAGGTGACATGAAGCAGGCTTGTTTGTTTGTTTAATCTAAATTATTTACTTTTGATACAGTAAAATTCATACAGATTCCCTTTTCTGTGACAAGCATGGAATTGCCATGAGCAAGAGAAGGTACACGCAGTGTTAAAAATGGTGACATTGGCTATTGACATACAATGACCAAAATACTTTCTTATTAAAAAATGAAAATTATCTTGCTATAAATGCCCTTGATCATCCATAGTAACAGGAAAGTCAATTAGTCTATTTGTCTTTTTTTCTTTATAATAATAAATCTTTGTTCATTGACCAGGAATAATTTTGGCCATACTATATATTGCCAAATTATATCAAGATTATTAATTCTCAAACTTTAATATATGATTGTAGGGCTTTTCTATGTCATCTTAACATATCTTAAATTTCTAATCATTTCCCTGCTATTTTCAAATGCTGCTTCTATTATATATTAAGCATATTTATACTATCTCTTTACTCCCCTAGAAAATGGTTGTTTCTCTTGCTAGTTTTGATTATGCTCATGCTTGTGCCCGATTCCTGCAGTTCATGCAATTTGCTGATAAATCAATGATATCTGATCATGACATGAATGCCACTAAGAAAGATCTTCTGACAGCATTCGTAAAGGGTGCAAACAGAATTGAGCACATGAGAAAGAAGAATATTGGACATAGTCTCATGTGTCTGAAGGATCATCACACAACCTTTTTCCTACTTTTGAGTATTTTATAAGTTTCATAGCAATCAAAAGGTCATTGGAAAGAACAGATGGAACAAGGGAAATGTAATATTAGATAGTCATTAAAATCCTATATTCAGTTAATAAATAGTAACGTGAGGTAACATTTGGTGTGTAGAATGAAAAGAACATGAGGGCATGTATACTATGATACCTGTCATAAAAATTGCATTTTCTGTAGAAAGAATCAAAAGATTGCACAGAAACATTTTAAGATTGGCTACTTGGTATTCACATGTTTATTTTATTTTATTTTCTTCCATAACATCCCATATTGTCCATATTCTTCAGGATTGCACACAATGCTTTTATAATCATCACTGAAACAGGTATTTCATGCGTGACAGCCACTGAAGAAATGAGGGAAAGCTCATGTGCTAGCACCTGTAAATTAAAAGCTGCATTGTACTTTTGAACACTATTTGCCCAAGAGGGATGCTCAAAGTGTTATTCTAGACCATTTTAGAGATAAGTATTGCATGAACTAGAAGTAGAAACATATAGGTAGCAGATAAGCCCTGTAAACATGTACATGACAAAAGACTGAAAAGGAAGTCAGAAGGAGGAACAATTCCCCCAAATGGAAAACACAATGCTAAAGCCAACGGAGATCTTCAAGTCTTCAGAGGCCAGAACAGATACAACAAAAAAGAAAAAAGTCATAAATAAATTAAATAAAAATTGATTCATGTCATTTCTACGTGTTTCCCCTTACTGTTTTCTGTGTCTTTCCTCCTGAGTCCAATCTGCTACCCTCTACAGATCTGGTCCCCCCACCCCTCTTGGTGCTTTTGTGCTTTCTCCTCACTCAGCTTAATTTTTGTGGTGGCCCACTGCTTTCCCTCCCTGCTTACATGGCTCCTGTTTCTCTCACCATTCATTTCCTCTTATCACTTGGAGAAACCACAGCCTTGGTTGAGCCACCTGGGCCTAATTTGTGCCCACTCCCATGCAATCAAAAGCAGCTGTAGAGAGATGGACGTTGGTATGAATTTGACTTTAAAATCCCAACTGTAGCTCTCATAGGACTTTTGGGGCTTCCAGGTGGTCACATTTTCTTATTTCATTCACCTTTCAAGGACACTGTGATTGTATCATATTTTATCATCTTTTCACACACCGCTAATGAATGGGTTTTCTACTTCCCTGGGAAAGTTGGGGCAATTGCTGTGACAATGCCTGCTACCTGTCTACTTCTGACACCTGCAAACAGGCATGCTGCTATGTAGAGAAAGGCATGTTTCATTTTTCGTGTACTGGGTGGGGCAGAGGACTCAAAGCAGATGCCCTTTGGGTCCTGTTTCTTAGGTTGAAGCAAGAAGATGCTCACCAGCTATCAGTGACTAGTCTAGGCTCCAGGACTGTATGAAACAAATTTCAGTTCTTTACAAATTATCCAGTCTAGGTTTATCTGAGATAGTAGCAAAAGACCTGTGTAAAACATAAGACTTACACCCATGCTTCCAGACCTAACACTGATTGAAAATTTCAGATACAATTATCAAATATGTATTGGACCTCTCCACTTGAAAAAGCATCTCAATTATAACATGGTCCCCCCTTCCCTTCATCATATTAGGTTGCCTCATCCATGTCCAGCTGTTATAGGAGGGTTTATGCCCGGCCTCATTGTGTCAGGTTATACCATGTTTGGTTGATGCCCCTGGAATGCTTGCTCTTTTCTGAGGGAAAACAGAGGAGCATTGGATCTGAAAGAGAGGGAAGGGGAGGAGGGGGCTTGGTGGAGTGGAGGAAATGGAGGCTGTGGTAAGCAGTCTCCCTTCATGTTTATTTGCCCTACTCTCAGCACAGGTGGGAACTCATGTGAGACTCTTGCTCCAGCTCCCACTTAGTGAAGCACACAATACAATTCCCTCAGTGTGAAGTCAGTCACTGGCCCTGCCCAGCATCACCTCTTGCGCTCGATGTCCTAGTTCCTTAGGGGTGGTCACCCTGGCTTCTTTCTATTTCTCAAACACCCTTGTACTTCTTGCTTAAAAGGTTGCAGTGGGCTTTTGGTTATTTCTAACATTTGCAAATCTAGATTCCTCAACACCACTTGGCTAACGCCTCCATCTTACATGTATTTGCTCAAATGGCCGCTTCTTGTGGGATGCTTGTGAGGAGGCCTCGGCAATCTATGGGGCCTCTGGTAGTAGATCAGTATTTATCCCTAGTACACGAATGGACTTTGTAAGCCCATTCCACATAGAGGGATGCTCTCTCAGCCTAGACACACAGGGGCGGGCCTAGGCCCTGCTCCCAATGATGTGACAGACATGGAAGATCCCCCATGGAAGGCCTCACCCTCCCTGGGGAGCAGAGAGGGAATGGGATGGGAGTTAGTGGGGGCCAGGGGAAGAGGGGAGGTAGAAGGAACTGGGATTGACATGTAAAACAAGCTTGTTTCTAATTTAAATAAAAAAATAGAAAAAACGAAAAGAAAATCTCTTTAGAAAAAGTCCCTATGTTAACTTTTATGAAACTGACAAACAAGCAAACTGTAATAAGAAAACCCACCAATCTCTTGTACAAGTCAGGGGAAAGCTCGTAGTAAACCTAGGAACTGACTCTTTAGCACTTTGAGTTAAGAAAGCATGCATGGTTTGACAATCTTTATAAAAGCATAGGATGCAATTTTGACAAACTGGTAGACATTTACTGATGGTAGATATCAAAATTACACTTCAAACCAGAAAGCTCTACACCAGAGCAATTTACACAGAGGAGGTAATGTTTTACAGAAGCAATGAAAACACTTATTTTCTGATGTTGCTACTGCATGTATAAGACTATCCCATGCATCAAGCCTCCTGTTCAAAACAGAGAACTGCGCTACTAAAGTTGCATACACAGGACAAGCTATACAGTACTTATTCACA